GCTCTTCCTGGTGACCCCATCACTTGCGCTCCTTCAAGTATGTTCCCGCAGTGATACGATGACACTCTAGCTCTGAGCGTTGACACCGACTTTCTCAAAAAAGCGTCCCTTAAAAATGTTAAACCTGCACTCTTTCTCTCTGACGCCGAGATCCCCGCCTTGGCTTTATCATGCCAGTTGGTCTTAGTTGGAAAGTTCCTCTATGGAAATCCTAAACTCGAGGTAATTCGAAAAGAATTGAGCAAATATGTTTGAAAGGGTAATGGAAGATTGGTAAACTGGACGGTAGACATGATCTTATCCAGTTATCAGGCGATGAAAATTATGCTCATTCGTTTTCGAGAGGGCTAGTTCAAATTGATAACCGTATGATGAAAGTTTTAAAATGGACGATCGACTTTGAACCTTTCACTGAATCTCCTACAATTTCTGTATTGCTGCGCTTTCCGGGTCTGAAGTTCCATATCTTCAATCATGAGTTCCTCTAGTCCTTAGCTTGGGTCTATGGTAAACCCTTCAGAACTGATATTCCTACACTTAATCGGAACATGCCTTCTGAAGCCAGAGTTTTGATTGAAACAGAAATTACTTTACCTTTTCCGGGGGAGATTTAAATTGGCTCACAACATCAGGGTTTTTGGCAGCGGGTGGAACTTGAACAGGTCACAATTTACTGCACCCATTGCCATATGCTTGGACACTCTAACTCTCAATATCACCATTTGCATCCTCATTTAAAACTTCATAGTAAGAATGTTACTGAGCCCCCTGCCCCAACTCACACCTGCCCCTCCTCCACCCCTAAGTGCAATCCACTGGCTATCGACACATTTGTTGAAACGCCCCATAAGTTCTTCCTCCCATTCTCCCTCCTTTAAATACCGTTTCTCCCGTCACTGCCTCTTATAACCCTCTTACCACTGGAGATCCACTCCTTGATAATACTGTTTCTGTTTCTGTGAGTGACGTCTTGTCGGATGGTTCAACACAGCTGGAAGGCTTCGTAACTCCTCACCCTCGAGAGGCCCCATGTGCAGATGATATATTACATACTTCACATACCTCAGAGCCTATCAATGTTTCTACTGTGCATCCATCACCTCATCAAACCGAGCAAGTGGCTCATGGGGCACATCGGTTTATACATGCCCGACAATCTGTCGATCAACACATTGATAAGATGAGCCAGTCTTCGGAGGAGGAATGAAAAGTTTACACATCTAGAAGTAAGAAGAAGAATGGAGGTCCACTCGAGCTCAAAAATTTAATGGATGATACTTTGGTTACTTCGGGTAATGACACAATACTCAATAATTTGTTAGCTGGCTCCCTTCCTAGAACTAGAGGCAGTATGACTAAATTGGGTCGTTCCCTAGCTACTTGATTCTGCGATTAGACTGTTTTGGCTTTTTTGGGTTAACATGTATCTTTTCTTTTTTGGGATTATTGTGTGTGCTGTACCATGCGAGTAGGCTGCCTTTTATGGGTCCTCTCGTACATTATATCTGTATCTTTTCTTTATTAATATTTTAGCCCTTGGGTTTTTTCCAAAAAATATATATTACTTATGCGGAGTTTATAGAGATGCTTTTCATTGTCAGATGGTTGCTATCTTTTATTCTCATGTTATCATTTGCTTTGTTGCTTGTTTTATATTATTTATTGGTGCTATTCTTTGTTATTGGTTCCGTAGAATTGTTTTCATAGGCTGGATATAAAAAAAAAAATTGCATTCATAAAATATTTACTTCTCTCTTGAACACGCATGTTTTCTAAATGCTACCAATGCTTTTCTGTGTTCTATTTCCTTTGGAAAATTTTTATTTGGTCTGCTGTTAGTTATGGATTGTTTAAAAGCAAGCAGAGAATGGTGCGAGGAACACTTATGGAAGATAAGATAACAGGAATTCGACCTAATTGATTTGGGGATGTACAATAGAGTTGGAAGATGCATCAATAAGATGGGTAAATATCACAAAGGTTCCTAGTAGATTTTTTTGTCACTTTATGTACTCCCACATTTTTAAGTAGTCTCAACTTTGGACTCTTTCATAGACGATTCTTTATAATGGTATTTTTCTTAATAATTCCATTAATTGAACAAGAAAAAATAAAAAACTAAATATTCAACTTTTTCCCGCTATGATTCTGTTAATATCAACTCTGTCTTCTTCCTCCCTGAACTGCCATCTGTTTTTCCTTGATGCAGGTTATTTATGTGTCTTACTACTGCTTTATTTGTTACAAAAGTCAGTAGCTTTTAATGTACAAATTTCAGGCAGGCTTCATTCAACTTCAGCAATAATGCAGCTTTCACCAATATTTGTAATTCCACATGAAAAATAATAGGCTAATGTAAAATTTCAGCAATAATCAAGTTTTATATTGCAAAATAGAATTATGCTCACTTCACACTTGGCTAAATTTTAATCAGACGCACCCCAATAAATAAATAAATTAAATGCTAGAAGAAAGGTAGAATTTACTCGAGAAGAAAGAACCAAGTCTGACTCCCATGCTAGTGGATTTTCCCCTAAAAGTAGGCATCACACCTGCAAAGAACTTGAAGAATATACTTCCTACTAACACTCAAATAAGATTTGATAAAAAACAAAAAAAAAACAAAAACTGTTTCAATTTTTAATGTTCAATAGTGTTTACATGCACCGTGGTCTTATTTCCACAAGGGACACAAAATATGGAAATTTACATAATCCTTCCAGATTTGTTCAGAAGCAACAAGTTTTACTTCCATTGTATGAAAAAATAGTGATTAGGTTTAGGTTTCTAATTTCTATTTGAGTTCATCTGAAAAATGGAGAAAACCATGGCTTCAAATGTCTTGGCACGAGTGTTGACAGGTTTCATATCAGACTATATCAATTAGCGACATATTAAAGATTTGAGCTGCAGTGGAAATCAGAGAAATCCTGTAAGGAAGCTAATAAACCAGGATCCTGTTGTTTTAGCAATTAAAAGAATAATAATAATAATAATAATAAACTGAATCCTGGTGTTGTAGTAATTAGCTGTTGAATCTGAGTTTAAAAAAACTGTGCTTGTATTGGAATTTTAGATTTTCATTACTCCTTCCTCCTTAATTGCCCTTTGTACTCTTCCTCTTCTTTGACTCTTGCATCGTCATACAGCCCTCCCTCTCGACAACCTTTTTGCTGATGGCTGCCATTGCTGCCAGTTATCCTTTGTTTCCTTCGTTGTTCCTTCACGAACTTCCCCTCGCCAGCTACTATTGCTTCACCTCAATTGACCGATTTTTAATCTTGCCCTCACCAGCTGCAAGGAGAACATTCTCTACGACAGGACTAACACCATCTCCATGTAGGCACTGTATAACCTTTCTCGCGTTTTTACTCCTTCGTTTTATGCGTGTTCTATGTCCCTGAACAAATAGACGACCTCACAGTGGGCATATTTTTCTAACCTCATCCCTCCCTAGCAACCTCCTCCATTGTACATTCGTCCTTGACCACAAATAAATGTCATGGAGTGTTATTTCTTGTCTTATTACCATGCAAATTTTGAGCAGTCAGCATGATTGTCTGTCAAGAACAAAACCTTAGAATAGGATGAAACTCTCAATTTGGTACATGTATGGAAACTTACATTTCTTCTTTGAGAATTAATTGCAGCTTAAAAAAATATCAATTTGAATCTTTGAATTTGGGTGCTTTGACTTGAATTTTTTTATCCTCAATTAATGAACAAGCTGGCGCCATTTGCTAACATGGGCTTATGTGAAGACCAACATTTTATCTCAGGGACAAAATAAAACTGAAGGCATTCCGAAGGTTTTGGGCTAATTGAAAAGTGGTATCAACTTCAGTGACCCAAGTGAAATTTATGTTAAAATAAATGAGAAAGGATGAAGAAAATAAAAAATAGTCGTTCTAAGGTAACATTAAAACCTCATGCAACAAACAAAAGGAATTAATAAATAATAATGATTCATAAAATTGACTTCGGATAGTTTTCATGAGGCTGATGTAACCTTAAGGAAACTTTTTATAGCATATAGTCTGCTTAAGACAATCATAACAGTAAATATGACCAACTCTTTTATGCGGTTTAGCTTCTGTTATTTAGTGTCGTACAATATATTCTGCATCTGAAATAACTAAAATTTTATCTTTTGTCATCTAATTTCAGCTTGGGCAAACTGTTCTTTAAAAATAATATAGCCATATCTTACACTCCCTTATAAGGTTTCTTGGATGATAATCTACAGAAGCAACAAAAAGCAATGGATGACTTAATTTTGAAGTTACAGGAGATGTCAATGATGAATGAAGAATCTCAACTGATAATCGAGTCGCTAGAGATAGTGAAAGAAGAACTCTCATCACAGAAGGTATGAGCTTTTATTTCATGCTCAATCAATATATAATGTTCAATGTGTTGTTCTTTCTTTGCGATAAGTCATCTGCAGTCTATTGGCATGCGTGTGCGTGCACACATATCACACACATGAGAAGCGAGAGGCATTGATGAAGTTTATTGCATAGCCAATGTTGAAAATTTTAGGTATATGCCATTAACTGAGACAAGCTTCATTCAACTTCTTTAAAATCTGTATTGCATGATCAGCACATGTGTAAGTGCTACAAAAAAATCAGCAAATAAAATTGTGGCTGCCTGTTTTCTTTTAATATAAATTGATAACAACTTCAGAGAAGGATTCATCAAGTCCATGTCCTGACTAATGCATCCTGTTTTTTAAACGTGGACATAGTACACTGCAGCATGTACATATTTACAGTGATAATGCAAACTTGTCTCACTTTAACAACCCAAATTGGTAAGGCTTTATATTGTAATTTGTTTTATGGAAGAGATTTTCAATAAAAAAAGTTGCGAAAGTTTGAGAGGAACAAGGCAGAGATGATGATGAGCAAAAATTTTTTGTACCAATTTAAGCGATCCACGTGCACCATTTGGATTAAGAAGTGAAGAGAGGAATTAGCAAATGTGCATACCAAGAGTTAGTGTTGCAAGTGTCATATAGAGCACTCTTGTTTTGAGAGTACTTGGGCCATTCAGCCATCTTTTCATTTTCAATTTATGAATATTTTAGTTGCAAAAGAAAAGCTAGTGATCCATCCCATTGATTCAAAAACATTCAAATTACCCTTATCATTAATTCATTCTTCAGTTAATAATTCCGGAAGTCTATGTAAGCAGCTCTACTGTTAAGGAAAAATAAGACCCTATTGATAAGATATTAAAGTAAGGACAACATTATCCTTATTTTTATTGAATTTTTAACCAAATAATTGAAGTAAAATTGAATATTAAGAAATTCAACTAAAATTAATTGGTGGGCTATAAAGAATTGAAAATCGGTTTGGTGCAACTCTTTTTATAGTAGGTTTTTACTCCTTTTGGATGACTTACAATTCCAATATTACTTGGGCTGAACGGATTGAATGGTCAATCAATATTTATGCTATATTGCATGAAAATAATCCTTTCCTGCAAATGATTCTTTGAGGAAGTGTTTTCTGTAGGCGGAATCACTTGCTCATTTAATGGAAGAGGCGGCCATATATCATAGTGAGCAACGACAGTGAGTCCAAATATGACAAAGCTAGAGGTTTAAATGTTGAGTGTCTTCAAAATTCTTACTTCTGGGAGATTTTTAAAAGGTGAACCATAGTGGACTCAGCTATAGTTGTCAAAATTACAAGTTTGACACAAATATCTAGTACTGTTTTGACATAGTATCTTCTGAGTGTTGAAATCTTTGTAATGTGAACCAATAATGTATTAGGCTATGATGATGGTAGTGATACACAAATTCGATCACTAGTAAGTTTGAATGTTACAAACTATAATTGTTTGAGGTAGTATGTCTCTTGAGGCGGTGACAAATGATCTCGAGCAAGAATCATTACAAGAAGTAGGAGAAGAGTAGTTTTAGATTTTGGTGTATTTGAAAACATCTCAATGTTATAATCAATGGAAACTAAAATTCATACACTTGCCAAATCTTTGTAATGTAAACCAATATGGACTAAGGGACAATGGTGGCAAATAAAACGGGCTCTAAGAATTTGTGCCCGACTCTTTTGAGAGGCTTTGTAGTTCTATTCTTATTTAAATTTTTAGAAGGCAACTTAGGTTCTGTTTGGGGCAGCTGTTGATTATTTGTAATCTGCTGATAAGCAGATTATTCTGATAATCTGTAGATTATCAGAATAAGCTGGTTTGCTGTTTTGGATAGTTTATTCAGAATAGTTTATTTGCAGTTATGACTGTATAAATGACTTTCTTGCTCCTGTCTGGTAAAACTGTTTGGGGCAGCTTATTCAGAATAGCTTATTGGTAGTACAGAAGCATATATAGTGCAGAAACATAAAATCATCACAGATCAGTTCCAAAAGATGACATACAGTTCTCACACTCTCGTGAGTACCAGAAAAAATAAAAAAAAAAGATAAAGACAAATACAACTATAATGAGAAATATTAAAATATTCAATTTCAAACTTTGACTACGTTTGTTCTCAGCTGCATATCTACCTTGGAAAACATCGGATTTCCATCACAGCTGGCAGTGTAACATGTGGGACTGTCGGCCCATCGGAAGAAACCGCAACGAACTGAAACACCCTTGTGACAATCGTAAAACTGTCTCCCAAAGCTATGAGGCCAATGCGATGTGAGCAACAGAGCCGGTTGTCCAAAATAACACAAAACAACTCTGTCTGTCACTGAAATCCTAGAAGTCATGTTGGTATAACTGTGAAAAAAAAATAAAAAAAATCAAATGTCAGATGTTATCCAAAAAAAAAAAAATTGATTCAAGGATAACTCGTGCAGGAGATCCATAAATATCGGTACAGTCATTCGAAATATGTTACTGAATCTAATTGGATGTCCATAAAACATTTCACCTACTTATTTATCTCCAACAAAGCTGGAGGTCATTCGGGATATAAGAACACTGCTTGATCGGTAATACTCCAACAATAATATGACAATAGTTGCAACCCATGTCATTCTCTTACGCCATTCATGTTGCAGATCTATTCTAAAGGAAGAAAGGTGTCGGTTAGTTCATCAATTATTAATCAATTGAGTGAGCGAGAAATAAACAATGAGAACACTCAGCCAGTTATAATAAAAATGTATAGGTCTATACTAATAAGCATTCAAGAATCAAGTAGAAGTACATTGTTAAAAAAAAAACATAACTCCAAATAACAGCTGAGTGCATAACTTCAAAGAGTACATTATACAACAAAAGAAAACGTATAAAAACTCAATCATTCACAAGAACACGTAAATATTCGACTAGCAACTTTGGTTGAACACGTAAATATTCGACTCGCAACTTTGGTTCCATTGCCATGAATATATGCCTACGTGTTAGATCCTCTAGTTTCTTCATACATATTGCATGAAAGTGCTTATTTGCTACTACTTCAGGGATAGTAGTCAAAGTTCAATGACAATCAAAGATAGTGCTGTCAGGAAGTGGAGCAGGCGGTGAAGCTCTAAACGTTTCTACGAGTCAGTCGAATGAAGTTTTCACAAAAGTGTCACTTTCTTTCTTCCTAGCCTGAGTCTCTTCATCTGCGAGCTTGACTCCCCCATCTTCCTCTGGTTAACACTGTGTATTTTTTCTTCAACCGCCCCCGGCTCTGGTGGAAAATCATCTGGTACTCCTGCAAACCCGGTCTCACTAGGGCTGAATGCATGCTTTCCCGTTGCCACAACCCCTCTAAACATTATGTCAAATTTCTCTTCAAAATCCGGTCTCTGCTTGTACTTTTTTGCTGTCGGCGGTGCCTATAACATTAAATTGAGGACACTCAGGTAATTAAAATAATTTTTTAAAACAATTTTTGATATACACAAATTGAGAATGTAATTCATACCTCTAATTTCTCTGCCCACCACTTTTCTAGAGTATCAATTGTTCGTTTAATTGGATCTCAGCCTAACCCTGTTGATCCACGTTTTAGCTATTTCCAAATTTTTCATTCATTTTTCAATTGATCTTATTTATTTTTAAACTTAAGCCTATCATAATCCCTTACAGTCAGTTCTTTAAACCTTCTAGCTAGTGCCAACCTTCCTTGTTGAAGAACGTTGTTGGCCTATTTCCCAATCTTATTTCTTTAATACATAGATCACAAAAAATATTTGTCACTTCTTTATACCACATAGCGGACGAACCCCCTTCTTTAGACATGTTGGAACTATAAGAAACAAAAATATAATGCTCAAAGAATCTCCACAGCGTTGCAATTAACAAAAAAACATAGAAGTATAAGTACACGAAAGAATTATGTGGTTTGGTCAATGACTTACATCCACGGAAGGAAAGACACGAATGTTTCATTATGAAATTGTCTAGGATACATAGCTATCAAACTGCTACAACAATGATAGATCAAATTGCTGCAGAAAATCCCTAAAACCAAAACTCCAATAACTGCTACATATAGTACTGCTAAAATAGGAAACAACAATACAAACTTATGCATCAAATCCATAAATCTTGAACTGCTGCAGCTAAAAACAGAAACTGCAGCTAATACAAACTTCTACAGTCAATACAAATTTCAGCAGCTAGTAACCAGAAACCCGAAATACATAAACCAAAATCTGCATCCATTGTAGTTATTAAACCAGAAATTACATCCATTGCAGCTATTAATCCAATGCATCCAGTGAGACCAAGCCTATACAAACTGCTATAGCCAAATACATAAATCAGAAACTGCATCTAATGCATATATTAAACTAGAAACTGCAGCAAATAAATAAACCAAAAACTGTAGGTAATGGAGAAAACATTCGTTACAACCAAAGGGTGGAGGAAACCCAATTTTCAAGTGTAACATAAAGAGAAGTAATGGATATCTATTTCAAGCATTTTTTAAATCAATTTTGGAGCAAATACTATTCGTGGATTGAGAAAATTTAAAATTTTCATTGGCTGAAAATCTCCACCAATTAAAGTTTGCTAAAGAAAAGAAACACCTTAAGCAGTGAATTTGAAATACCCCGTTTTCATTCATCCACTTTGGATAACCAAACAAATGGAGCCATGCATTTATTGTAAATGCTTTATATTAATACCAAGTAAAAATATAAACAAATGGAGCCAACTTGAGAATCCCCATAGAATTATAGAGAATTTTTTTTCATAAGGACTATCCATACAATTCCTTAAGTAGTGAAGTTGAGCGATATACACTGCAGCTAATTCAAGCAATATCCATTGCAGCTAATTCCATACATTTTCTAATGAACAGATGCAACATTTTCTTACTGAATTTATTGAACAGATGAAACATTTTTCATAAGCAATATCCAGGAACGTAAGCAATATCTAATG